GGAGGGTGGGTTCGGGTGCCGGGGGGTAGGGGGAGGGTGGGTTCGGGTACCGTGGCGGTAGGGGGAGGGCGGTCGGCCAGCAGGGAGTGGGTGGGAGGGCCAGGCGGGGGCCAGGCAGTCTGCGAAGGTGGGGCCAGGAAGGCGCTTGGCGGGGCGGAGGGCGGCGGGCGAGAGGCGGGCGAGAGGCGGGCGAGAGGCGGGCGAGAGGCGGGCGAGAGGCGGGCGAGAGGCGAGAGGCGCAAACGCACGGGCAGTGCGCGGTGGCCAAGCACCGAGGTGGCGCCGTCGAGCGACTGGCCCGCGCCGGCAAAGGCGACCGCGCCGCTCGGCTGGTTGGCGCGCCACTCGCCCTCCGTCTCCGCGCCCATCTCGTCGCGCGCGCGCTTCATCAGATCGCGTGGGTCGAGCACCTCCTGCCCCGAGCCGCCTCCGCCGCGGCCCTGGCCGCCGGCGTAGTAGGCCTGCCGCTCGGCGTCCTCCTTCTCGGTGCCCTCATCCTTGAGGTCGTTGAGTCCGACGACGGGCATCTTGCGTCCTGGGACACGGGTTGGAAGCGCCACAATCACAGCGCGGAAGAGGTGTGCTGGAGAGCGGAGGGGCAGGCGACGGCGCATGTGATGGAGAAGTGCGCCGTGCATAGGCGACGGTGGAAGAGGATTGGAGGTACGGAGCGTCTCGGCCGCCGCATCGCCATCTCGCGCCTTTGGTTTGGCTTGGGTTCCAACTCTTCCGGGGTGTGGTTACTGACCCCCGCATAAAAACGGTCGTTCCTTCGGCGACACTGAAACCGTCGCGGGCACATCGGGAAGCGACTGGCCATGAGTTGACGTGATTGAGACATCGCGGACCTGATGCTGCTACAGTTGCGGCATTAGGCGGCGTCCGCGCATCGTGGGTACCCACACCGCTTGGGCAACAAAATCTCTCTCTCTCTCTCTCCGCTTCTGGCGGGGGAGGGGGGTGGGGGGGGTTCCTGGTCCCAAGGTTGAAATCTCGGCTGCAACGCAGGTTGTGACGGTCCGAAATGGAACTAGCCCGAGGCTTGCGTAGGCGTGATGGTGTGTAGAGTCTTCGTAGAGCTAAGTGCAAGAGCGTGCCAGCGGACGTGGGCGTGACTCGCCGAACCGCCGTAAAACCACCGTGAGCGCTCGCACGTCGCCATAGGCGCCCACCTCAGCCCAAGCCCATCGATGCGGAAGAGCGCCATTCGCATGCCACTCGGCGTGCGCCCCTCCAGCAGCAAAAAGCAGCGGCGGAGCTTCGACTTTGTGCGCCCACGTTCGAGTAAAAGCAGTCACTGTGACGTCGCCACCGACCCTGCCACCTTGCAAAGGCTGGCGACCACGTACCGCGGAACGCGCAAGCCCGCGTCCGCAAATGCTGCCACGGTCGGGCTGTCAGGCGATACACCCGGGACCCGCTCCCGTCGAGCACGCCCGCGTGGTCCACGCTCGTATGTGCCGCTCGTCGAAGGAGAGAGTACACGCAAAAGAAATTCTTTCTGACGGCGTGCGACCACCTTCCCAGGCTCCGCATCCACCTTTCCGCGTGGTTCGCGGTGGGCTGCATGTGCCAGCGCGTCATGGCGAATCCCGACGACAGCGGGGCCCCAAAGGAGGGCGGCGGCGGTGGTGACGAGCGCTTTCGCGTCTCCTGCAACTGGCGCCGCCCTTTCGCAGAGATGCGGAACGACCTCAATCGGCGGCGGCCGCACTATCTGAGCGACTGGACGGACGCCTACACGCGCAAGGTCGTATCGTCGGCTTTGTTTATGTTCTTCACGAGTATTGCGCCCGGCATCACCTTCTCCGCCCTGCTCGGCGACCAGACGCGCGTCGACGGCCGCGCACAGCTCGGTCCGGTTGAGGTTATTCTGTCGACCGCCGTCACCGGCTCCATCTTTGCCATCTTTGGCGGGCAGCCGCTCGTGATCGTCGGCGTGACGGGGCCGGTCACCATCTTCACGATCGCTGTCTTCAACATCTCGGACGCGCTCGGCATCGACTTCCTCCCCTTCTACTGCTGGGTGCAGATCTGGGCGGCGCTGATGCACATGGGCCTCGCGGCGTCCAACGCGTGCTCGCTCATCACGCTGGTGACGCGGTACTCGTGCGAGACCTTCGGCATGCTGATCGCCGTCATCTATATCTACAACGGGCTCCGCAACCTCATCACCTACTTTGTCGACCTCGATCCGCAGCCCGCCCTCCTCTCGCTGGTGGTCGGGCTGGTACCTAGAAGCGGAAGATCTCCCCCACATCTGCCTCCATATGAACCTCCGCTTGAGCCCTAGAAGCGGAATACGTGTTCGTCTGTCTCCCAGCCAGCACTTGACAAGACACTGTGTCTTCCGCCGTAAGACTCCTCCTACAGTTGCACCCCTCGTACTCACGCGGTGCTCTCGAAGACACGGCGCACACCGTAGCTACTCCCCCGCCCTGAGGCTGGCGTCCTCACCACAACCTATCACACTGCACCGGGCCGGTGCTTGCACTTGCAATGGGGCTCCTGCCCGTGTCCCGGGCGTGGAGACGCGAGGGACAGCCTGGCCCTTGCCCCGCCACTTTGTGTGGTGTGTGGAGACGCCTGGCCCTTGCCCCGCCACTTTGTGTGGTGTGTGTGGAGACGTCTGGGCCCTGCCCCACGCACCACTCTCTTTGTGTGTGTGGAGACGTCTCGCCCTTGCCCCACGCACCACTATCTTTGTGTGTGTGGAGACGTCTGCCTGACCTGACCTGACCTGACCTGACCTGACCTGACCTGACCTGACCTGACCTGACCTGACCTGACCTGACCTGACCTGACCTGACCTGACCTGACCTGACCTGACCTGACCTGACCTGACCTGACCTGACCTGGCCTGACCTGACCTGACCTGAACCTATAGGCTCGGCACCACCTGGCTGGCGCTGCTGCTCACCAGCGCACGCTCGTGGTCCATCCTCAACCGCACCGCGCGCACGCTGCTCGCCGACTACGGCGCCACCGCCTCCATCTTCTTCTTCTGCTTCGTGCCCTACATGGGCGCCAACTACGACCTCACGCCCGCCGCGCACGGCGACAACATCACCGCCTCCACCATCGCCACGCTCGACGTGCCCGACGCGGTGGAGCCGTCCGCTGACCGCGGCTGGCTGATCAACCCCGCGGACTGCCCTGCGTGGGCGATCGTCCTCGCCATCGCCCCCGCCCTCATCCTGACCGTCCTCTTCTTCTTCGACCACAACGTCTCCTCTCTCCTCGCGCAGGCGCCCGAGTAGATAGGCAGCCCGAACTCCAAGATCCCCCCTTGCCCACGGGCGCACGCGCAGCAGGCGCCCGGGTACACAGCAGACACACACACACACACACACACACACACACACACACACACACACACACACACACACACACACACACACACACACACACACACACACGCACGCACGCACACACGCACACCGCTCACCACGCGCACCGGGCCCCTGCACTTTTACTGCCGTGCGGCTCCTGTCGTCTAGACGTGTAACCGCGAGGGGCTAGCCTGGCCCTTGCCCCACCACCTTGTGTGTGTGGAGAAGTTGAGCTTGCCTTCCCTTTCCTTAGGCGCCCGAGTTTGGCCTCAAGAAGGGCACCGCTTACCACTGGGACTTCTTCGTGATTGGCGTGCAGATGCTCGTCACGGGACTCCTCGGCATCCCGCCCGTCAACGGCCTCATCCCGCAGGCGAGATGGCCCGAGATGGCCCGAGATGGCCCGAGATGGCCCGAGATGGCCCGAGATGGCCCGAGATGGCCCGAGATGGACCCAGATGGCCCGAGATGGCCCCAGATGGCCCCAGATGGCCCCAGATGGCCCGAGATGGACCCAGATGGCCCCAGATGGACCCAGATGGCCCGAGATGGCTCGAGATCGCGCAACTCGGCATCTCGCAGGGAACAGCAGTCGGACGCCTGCTTGTGCAGCTACCTAGGCGCCGCTGCACACGGACTCACTCTGCGAGAAGGAGTGGCGGACGCGGCCGGCCGGTCACTCGGCGCACGACAAGGTGGAGGTGATCACGCACTGCCACGAGCAGCGGGTGTCGGGGCTCGCGCAGGCAGTGCTGATCGGGCTTACCCTCTGCGCGCTCACCGTGCTCGGCTACATCCCGATCGCCGCTCTCGACGGCCTCTTCATCTACATGGGCATCGCCTCATTCGGCGGCAACTCGTTCTACCAGCGGCTCGTCCTCTTCATCACCGACCCGGCGCGGCGCGCCGCACGCGGCCTCGACTTCCTCGACGGCGTGCCCTCCGGCGTGGTAAGGCGGTACACGGCGCTCCAGCTGCTCATCCTCGCGTGCATCTTCGGCGTCACGCTCGTGCCATACGCCAACTGCCTCTTCCCCGTCCTGATCGCCGTCCTCGTCCCGCTCCGCATCGTGACGCTGCCCAAGCTGTTTGGCCGCGAGAATGTGGACGCGCTCGACGCCGACGGCAACGCGCCCGACCTGGCGCGGCACAGCGCCGACGCAGACGGCGCGGCGGAGGGGACGGTGGGCGGCGCGGCGGCCGGCACCATCTGTGCGGAGGACGGCGAGGCAGGGCCAGGGGCGGCGACGGAGGTGGTGTGAGAGGAGGGTGTGGGTGGGTGCGTCGATGTGAGCATATCTGGGGCGTGGTGGTGCCCCCGGCCCGGTCAGATTACGCTAGAGTGCGTGTGTGGCCAGCCACGCACGTAAGCTGTCGCGAATTCGACTCAGCCTTCTCGCCGCCCCCCGACACACGCTAGCGCAGGTGGCTCCACTGGCACTGCACTCTCGCTGCGCGAGCCACCACACCCTTGTCCTGGATGGCTCTTGGCTGGCGACTGGCGTCGTTATCACTTATCTCTCAGCCATATGCCCCATGCGCGTTGGAACGCTTGGTGGCAACTTGGTCAGGATATCTAGTAAGCTCAGGGCCACCCTCTCTGCGCTCCGGCCAAGAGGCCAAGGCGGCGCTGGAGGAGGCCTGGGCGGCGCTGCGCGGGGCCAGTTTTGGCGTTCGAAGGGAGTGAGCCCGCGCTCGAAGGGAGCGAGACGGCGCTCGAGGAGGCGGCGGCTGCTGCAGACGCGAGCGGCGAGGCGCGTGCTGCTGCGGCTGCATCGAGGGCCAGGGCGGCCGCTGCCAGGACGGCGGCGGAGTAAGCGCAGCGCTCGTAGAGAGCACGTAGTAGAAGATTCGAGCATGCATTCTGATTGACGTATCTGTGACTGAGACAAAATCAGTAGAATACGTCACACGTAAAGGAGAGAGAGAGAGAGGAGAGGGGAGAGGGTGAGGGTGTGTGCACACGTGTGGAGAGGGAGGGTGTCTGTGGTGGGCTGTAGTCATACTACGTGGTTACAACCACGCGCCCCTCAGGAGCTTAAGGTAGAGTGGAGCGCCCTCCCACCGGGTGAGACCATCCGGATCAGCACAGCTCGCCCTCCGGACGCGCAGCTCCCCGCGATGGCCTACGGTCCCCCGCCACCAGGTCGAACCCCTGCCTCCCGGTTGACCCCCCAGTCCTCGTACTCGACCATTAAATAAACTCAAAGGTCCACCACAGCCACCACCCTCCACCTCCACCGTCGAGCCGCGATCGCTGCCGCCCGCAACGCCGCCCGCCGCGTCAGATGCCCGCGACGCGCGCATCGACTCGAGTCGGAGAGCCGCGCCACCCAGCAGCAGCATCTGCACCAGCAGCAGCACCAGCACCAGCACCAGCACCAGCAGAGAGAGGCGCCAATTTTGAGGTTGCCCGAGACAGCCTGGAGATGGCCCCGCGTTGTACTCGAGTAGCCCCGGTGCCGGCGCCTCACATCTCAGCATCGAGGGGCCGGTTCCGCCGCGCAGTCGAGCAGCAGGAGCTCGTGCACAGCTTTGTCGACAAAGAGGTTGATCAAAATTTCGGCGAAGAAGCGCCACCGGCGGCACGCCGGGATGAATCCGCACCGATCCCATTGTTCGGCACCGCGACGGCGAGCCGCCGCGGGCCCACAGGAGGGCTCGGAGCCGCGGCACCGGTCCGCGCCGCCAGCGGGCGAGAGCACCAGCCTACAACCTGGCCGACATGGCAGTTGCGACGGCGCTTTCACACACACACACACACACAGTGAACTGAATCACACACACACACACACACACACACACACACACACACACACACACACACACACACACACACACACACACACACACACGGAGCCGGAGGAGGGTACGAACAAAAATGGATGCCGTTTGCGCTGCAGCGACTGTCGGTGCAGCTCTGGGTGGCGCTCGCGGACGAGGCACAGCGCGCCATTGGTGCGGCGTCACGCGCGACGCGGCCGCGAGGGACCGCGGGGGAATGCTAGTGGGATGGGGGGCTCTGAGGGGAAGGGAGCGGGGGGCGCCCAGTAGGGCGCCGGCACCCCAGCGTAGAGGGCGTCGAGTAGCCCTCCTTTTGGTATAATATATATTTCACTATGCTCTACAGCTCTACAGCGCGAGACACACAGCGCTCTACACTCTACATCCTCTACACCCTCCCTCAGTATCGTACCCTAGAAGCGACGAGACGTCGCCGGCTGCCGCCGCTGCAGTCCGTACAGTCCGTCCCGGGGTCGCAGACCTCATCGTCGCATGTGCCGTCGTTCACGAAGTGCAACGAGTGGGGCAGAGTCATCCCGTAGTAGGTGCACGTGTCCACGCACAGAGCAGGGGGCGGCGATGCGGTGGAAGGCAGGGGGGGCGGCGAGCCGCCACTCATTGCTTCGGTGCACATGTCCGGCTGCAGGCGGCGGCGGTCATCGCTCTCGTGCGGATGGTCGTGGCAGCAGGGCAGGTCGGGGTGGTCCGCGCAGGTGCTGCAGATGGCCGCCGTGGCGGCGGGCGGCAAGTGTTTGCTGTAGTCGGAGGGGGTGGCGTCCGGTTCCAGGTGCCCGGAAGTCGCCTCCGCCGAGAGGCTGCACGTCACAGGGCAGGTCATCTTCACTTCGTCCACGCAGGTTGTGTCGCAGGCCGAGTTGGTGGTGTCGCAGAGGCCAAAGCCTTTCGCTTGCTCGCACGTCGGGACAAAGCCGGCGTCACACGGCGCCGGAGCCGGGGCAAAGATGGGCCCGCGCGCTTTCGGATTGATCGCTGACTCACGCAAGTCGGAGGGCGCGGGCGCCGCCAGGGCGGCGACGGCGAGAGCGGCCAACATGTGTGTATGCCGCGGGGTACAGCTCGGTGGGGTACCTCTCTTCCTCGGCCGCCGAATTTGAAAAAGAATCTTACAACAAAACTCCCTCGCTGAAAAAGAATTTTACAACAAAACTCCCTCGCACAACACTGGGCACGGGACTGGCGCGCACTTGAAAAAGAATTTCAGTTTGTGCTTAAGGTCCTCCGGGCCCCTTTAGGGAGGCAAACCCTGGCCGGCCCTTAGAACCCCAGGTAAGGCCCAGGTGTGGCCTAGGGCATCAGAAGGGACCAAGAGGAGTCCAGTCTGAGCCATAGATCCCATGCCTTTGCCCCCGAAGGTCGCGTTCAAACGCCCGGAACGGACGTTACAGTGGTGTCCGGCCGGCGCGATCACCGAGCTGTGACGCTCAGGGAAGCCCGATGAGGTACTGGTTTCTTTGCCCAGGGCTGGCCTACGGCCCGTGCTGGATCAGCTGAGCAAGGTTCGGGGAGAATCCCCCGGTCAGATCTTCAGATATTTTGACGAACGACCGAAAATGGGCAAAAACGGGGTGATTTCGGTCATCCGTCAAAATATCTTTCCTAAATCAAATGCCATTTAGCATTTTTGAGGACACATATTCATTTTGCGAGATACTGCAAAAAGATAGACGTGGCGAAGGAGGAGCTAGCGCGGAACTTTGGATGCATATCGGCAAGCCAAAGTAACGAGCAAGAGGCTGGTCCTGGTGCGAGAGCTAATCCTGAGCAACAATAAGCGACTGTACCACGGAGCATAGAGCGCAACAGACAGGACGGCGGCGACGGCGGACATGGCAGAGACGAGTGTGAGACAAAGGGCGGCGGGGATGGAGGGCGGGAGCGACGGGGATGGTGACGGTGACGGTGGCGAGGGAGAGGAAGGGGGTCCATTAACACCAGACAGCGAGAGGGGCAGGGAGGAAAGGGGGAGAGAGGAAGCCAACGGCGATGCCACCAGCAGCAGGGGACACGATGAACAGGTAGACAACGGCCAAGGCGATGGCGAGGACGAGGAGACACGGGACGATGGCAAGCGAGACGAGGAGGACGGAGGCGAGGGAAGAGGCAGCGCCACAGTCGACGGAGGCGACAACGATGGAGAAGGGGAGGGAACGACAACGCGCACAGAGGATGAGGATATAAACTGGGACGACGCAGCGGAGGAGATAGACGAGGGAATCGAGGGGCCGGAGGGCTTTCGCGACAGCGACGATGACGACGAAGAAAGGGGAGGAGACGGAGGGGCGACACGCAGGAGGAGCGAAATCGCGAACGGCCCGAGCAGAGAGGGCGACGGCGGAGCACGAGGGGGCAACGGAAACGCTACCAATGACGCGAACCGACGCACGGGCGACGGCGGGGACGGAGAGGGCGACAGCGACGTCGAGGTTGACGCAACGGTATCGAGAGCGCCACCCAAAAGGAGGCGGACAGCCATGGAGGTCACCGAATGGAGGGCGAACGGCACAATACGAAAAGGCAGGGCGAGGCGGATGGAGAAAGAAGTGCCGAGCAGGCCATGGTGGAGGGGAGGGACGGGAGGACGAAAGAAGGGCGAGGAGGACGAGCGGCCCGAGGAGCTTGTGGGCTCAGATAGAGGGCTCCTGCCCGACATCGCGCCACCCCACTCTGTCTCGCGTGGTGGCGAGAGGCTAGTTCCATTTCACTGTGGCACAGCTCGCGTTACAAAACCTTGATTTGACCATTTGCGCAAAAAGGTACATCTCGGTGCCTTCCAGAGGCAGCTGCGACCCCGCCGAGTGGACGGGGGCACACAGCAGGATGGCGCGGTGCGTTACCGTCCACTCCGCTGGGTCGCAGCTGCCTCTGCGCGTCCTGGGGAGGGACAAAATTGTCGCGCGCCGGAGATGACTCGACGCCGCTGAGATCGGAGATTCAAGCTCTGACAGGTCGCACGTCGCTCCTTTGACGCCGACGTGACTCACCCGTGCAGATCACATCAGGACACGGTCTCGACGCGCTCGGTACGACGCCTGCGACCCGTCTTGGGTCAAGTGGCACGACGCTCATCGCGCCTACCAGCGCTGCCGTGCAGGTTGCCACGACGAGGTCGAGCACGCTTCTATACGCTCGCCCAGCCTCCCTTTCCATCCCATTAGGCAGCATGGGAACGGTGGCGAGCAGAGGCAAAGCCTACGAGGGGTGGTGGAACCACATGTCGCGGCTACTGCCGGCTCGACCCCACGATAGCCTCCGAAGGCTGACTTTGAGGCACCATCATCGGACGATGTCGACGAGTTGGGTCGCTCTCGCGGTAGCCAGGTAGCCCCCCATACTAGTAGCACCGGCCATGGCCGCAGGAAGCTCGGGGGAGGGCGCTGGGAGCAACACGGAGCTCCGTTGGACGCGTTTTCAAGATTAGCGTGTGTCAGAGTGAATTGGAACTAGCCAGAGCGCTCAACAGGGACCGACCGCCGACGGACACCCTCGGCCCGCCGCCAACCCACAGCGGCGACGCACGCCGCCGCCTGGGCTGCTCTCCACACCCCACTCCCCAGGCTGCTGCCTTGAGAATGAGATTTCGAGAGACATTACACGAGAGAAAATTATAAATTTTCACCACAGACTCGCAGTAGCTTCCCTCGGCTAATCGCTAAATACAAAATACATCCCGCGGCGGTTCCGGCGCCCAGACACGCCAAGAAAGCAAGATGTCTCTCAAATATCATAAAACCAGGTGTAGTCGTCCTCCTCGCCCGCCTCGCTCGGCGGGCGCTGGCTGCCGTCGAGCACCTTGTTGACGCCGACGACCGTGCTGCCCTCGGGGACGGCGCGCGTCACCACGGCGCTCGCGCCGACGGTGACGCCGCTGCCGACGAGAATGTCGCCGAGCACGGTCGCGCCCGCACCCAGCGTCACCGAGTCGGCGATGGTCGGGTGGCGCTTCGCGCCGTGCATCGGCTTGCCGGTGGCGCCGAGGGTGACGCCGTGCAGCATGTACACGTCGCTGCCGACCACGGCGGTGCCGCCGATCACGACGCCGCTCGCGTGGTCCAGCATCACCCCCGGTCCTGCGGGGGCGGGGAGCGGGGCGCGGCGAGGGTGTGTGTGTGTGTGTGTGAGGAGACGGGCCGTTCGTGCGTGCGATCTGGGGCCGGGGCTGTGCTTTTGCGTGAGGGACGGGGGGGGGTAGATATACCGCTACCTGGTGGGTCGTCGGGCGTGTCGTCAGGGACAAGTCCGGAGGGGATGGCAGTGGCTGCCCAAGAGAGAGAAGAGAAGAGAGGGAGAGGGAGA